CCCCAAAACCCCAAAACCCCAAAACCCCAAAACCCCAAATTTTCTAATTTTTTTGAAAATGGAACATTCTTTAACTTCACAACTTATCTAAATCATCTTCTGCAGATCCTTCAATCGCCTCCCTTTCTTGAATACTGACTTATCAGAGAAAAAGAAGTCTCTTACAGACTCTCATTTTTCAACTGATTCCTTCTCTTTGAGAAATATGATGCTGATTTATCAGAAATTTGAGCTATTAAGGTTGAGACTTTTCTGACTTTGTGAGAACCTAATTTCTCTTATAATAAAAGCTATTCCCTGTTACACGGTTATGAAATAAATTTGAATATACTGGAAAGCTCTCGGTTTTTAATGTTTATTAATTAAAAGCATGATGCACATTTTTCTAGTTAACTGATTGGCTTCCTTCTGATATTAAAATCGCAAGAGAAATTGCATACTTTTATCCTTGGCTTATTTGCACTGTTTCGTGCTGTCTTGTTCCTTCTCTTGGATCTTCAGCCATTTTTGGAACTTTGTACCTTAATCCTTAGATTAATCCCTTTGTTATCTACAAAATGACCCCTTGTTATACCTAAATGGTTAGATTCAGGTAAACTCTTAATTCTTTGTCTGATAAAATTCTCTCTGGTTTGGCACGATTTTCTTTTGTTGATGGGAGATGGCCACAGCCACCACTTTCGTCATTTTTGGATGTAGCCACTTAGACTTCAGAATTAAGTGAAGTTACTTATCCTTGAGAGTTTGGAGATCACCCTCTATAGGTTTAATAAATGCCTAGGACTTGTTCCTACAACTCTTGCCAAACGTTTAACTGAAAGAGATTAGCATATCCTGACTCAGCTATCTCTAAGTCTGTGCCAGGATTTTAATCTTTAACAAAATGACCTTGTACCAGTATAAAAGTAACTTTGGCAAGTCTTTCTTTGTAAGATAGTGATGTTGATTGAAATCACTAGCCGTTACACATTCAGCAAGACCTGTACCTCGTAGAGGAGTCGAGAAATTATCCTTTTGATCCATCAATTTTTGAACAATTCATTACTCGCCTTTCTCTTTAATGACTTCAAAAATTACTCTTCTAGATTTATTTTGGTTCTTGCGGTTAGAAACGTTGTTATCCAAAGTATTGTTTACTGTGGTTTTAATGAGGCAAACCTCAAGATGACTTTTCATAAAATAGTATTGAAAAAATAAGGCTTATCTCAACACTACTTCCTACTAAAATGCTACAATAGTGATTTATGTTTGATTTAATAAATTTTATACAAAAATAAGGGGTTTTGGGGTTTTGGGGTTTTGGGGTTTTGGGG